AATGGGAAAGAGAGCCCCTCATTACCCTTTCCCCTCCCCTGCACCTCATTCAACAAAAGACCCAAACCTACTCGCGAAGAATTTTCAACACATCCACAACCATTCTCTATGTTAAGGTATTCACAAAATATACCACCAAAAAATTGTCTATCCTACTTTGAATTCTAGATTTATTTTTGCAGTTAAGTTGTTCGAAACAAAAAGTTCCCGTTTATAACCATTAACCGGTTTTATCGACGAGAGCAAAGGTATCACAAACTTTGAAAATGTAAAGTAAAGCTAAATTGTACCCATTAACATACACATGAAAGAAATGGAAAAGAGGTAAGATGCACGTAAATTTTGTTAACTATTAAAGGTTTTGGTTTTCATTGAGGTTGACCTTTCTAAAATCGACGAGATCATTCGGTCCAAGTCGCGGCGGAGGCAATTTCCGTCCCACAGAGCTCACCTCCTTGTAAATGGACTCATTGAAACGGCCTTGTTGAGCCTAAAAAGTTTCAAAAGTCATTGAAAGTTAATTTAAATAAACTACCTTTCGAAACTTTTTACAGTTTGGAAGTCCACCGCTGCTGGACGCTGTAGAGTTACTTGCAAAAGAGAGCATTTGAGAAGGACGCTCAAGATTTGTGTAACTGATCATCAAATCCTAAACAAATGAAACAATAAAATACTCGTAAAAGAACACCCACCATTTTCTCATGAATCAAAGAAGCTTCTTTTCGTTCCCGTTCTTCGATTTTTTGGATTTGTTGCTAAAAATTCATTCGAGAAAAAAATTGCAGCAACAAACTTGAGGCCCGGATACATCGTCTTCTTCCGTAGATTTCCCGCTACACATTTGAGCGCAAAGATTTTCCTGAATCAATGTTATTCCTAAAACAAAACTTCAGACTTACGAACTCCTTTTCTACTGCTTTGATATCAACTTTCTTTGGTGCCTAAAGTTAAAGTTTAATATAAAAGCAAAACAAGTTTGACAACCTTCCGTTTTATCTCTTTCTGTGGTTCGGGGCACACAAACTCATTGTCTTCAATCGTCTCTTTCTAAGATTGCTTTTTTGGTGTTTTAGATTTCCAAAAGTACCTCAAGACGACTTCGCTTTGCAGGTGGCGATTTCCTTCTAGGGTGACCCAGTTCAGTCTGAAACCAAGCGTTAACTCATAATCCAAATGGAAAATACCTTTTTTGGACTAACAGCCTGAAAAGCTTCATCTAGATTTCGAACGCTATGAGTGGGTGCTTGAGAAGTTGAAACTACCGGTCTAAAAAGTCAAAGTAGCATAATAAAAGTAACCCAAACCCGCTATCCAGTGGCACTGCAACGGCATCTTCCCCAGTAAATTTTGTCTCCATCACCATCTATAAAAAAATCTTTTAAATAGATTCAATGAAACGTCGTTACCTTAGCTTTTTTGCTGGGGTGTAGCGAAGAAAAATCATTAGAGCCTCCAGCACACAAAGTGTTGCTATTTTCTAAAACATTGAAATGTAATAACTAGTCAGAGCACTAACCTGACTCGTGTTTTTTCCGAAGGTTCGCTGCACGCATTTGCGCTCGAGATTGGACATTGCCGATTGTTTTAACTACCATTAACATTGCGTATGATGCTTTGTGTAAAAAGTACCAGATCTCTGTGTTGTTCTGCTTGAAACGGCGGGTGCCATAATATCGTCATCATCATCGTTAACAAATGAAGAGAGGGCTCAAATTAATATTCAACAAAGAAGAGTCAATATTACTCACTTCCATAAGGATTTGTAGTAGAGCATTTTCTAGATGAATTCGGAGTTTCTTTTAGCGGCGTCATACTTTGTTGCGAACGTTGAGAACTAATAATCGCTTTGATTAAGTTAGGCAAGTATAGCAATAATACCGTCTCGGCGTTTCGTTGATTATCATAAACTCATCATCCGAATCATTGGGATCTACTGTTTTTCCACCCAATAACTTGGAGCGAAGATTTTGTGTTGAAGTGGAGCTTTTTTGGGTTATCGATCTAAACATCGTTTGAAATTATTTAGAAGAAAATCCTTTACCTTTGTGTTTCTTCAGCTAACGTGTTTCCAAAATTGAATTGGCTGACTCGTTGAGTGGGCGCTTGGAAAAAGTTCGTAATTTTGCCCTTGGATGTGGATTTACGAGTTTGCTGACTCGGTTCTTTTGGTGGAGCTCCCTAAAATAACTTAAAACTGTCATTGTTAATCCTGAAAAACCTCGACGACGAATGTGAATTCTCCGACGGTAAACTCATCCTTGTGCTTCAAAACCCGAGAGCCTTTCAGCACAACTTCATCATCGATCAAGGTCCCATATGCGCTTTGATCGACGAGCACTAGATCATCCTAAATCCCAAAAATAATTTAAAAAGAAAACCAGTTTTAACTACCCCACGAAGTTCAAGTATTGCATGAACTCTGCTTACGCCAGCAGCAGCTATTGGAAGATTTATTTTGCATTGAGCTGGGTCTCTCCCGATCTTCAGCGAGCCACTGTTAATTGTATGAATCCCTAGATGAGAAAGCGTTCACATTCCGACAGTAAACTCACTTTTCTGGCCATCCTGTTCCTTTATTTTGTACATAGACCATACAAACAGGAGCAATCTCCCTAAGCAACAACCATAGCCGGGAAATTAACAAAATGCCTTTCTCTTCTAATTTACAGTAGAAACATGTGGTGTATCCAGCGTGTTTTTGAACACTACATTAAGAACAATTTATTGATTAAATCAGTAATAACAAATCAAGCACTTAGAACTGAATCACGGCGTTTCTCGATTTCTTCTGTCCACCCAATTCGAAATGTTTGCAACGCTTGATGGCCAATTGCTTCTTGTGCTTACAGTCGGTGCACTCCATTCGCAACACGATCTTCTTTGTAGTCTTAGCCTTCTTTCGGAAAATGGGCTTCGACTGTCCTCCAAATCCAGATTGTTTACGATCGTATCTCCTCCTTCCTAAAACAAATATTCATTACCGTTATTCAAATTTCAAGCAACAGCCACGCGGTTACCTAATTGTTTTGGTTCACTATCTACTCAAGTTTATAAAATCTACTGATTTTTCGAATTTCTTAGGCACTCTTGACCAATAAAAGTGATCCCAGCAGATTCATCAAACAATTCTGCTAACTCCGCTTTTGCCATTAAAAACTATAACGTTACCCTGTATCCTAGGCATTTTGTTTGTGCAAAGCTTGTTTGAAAAAAACAAAACCAAAAGCTATCTTGCATGAGAGTTTGCTTTTAGCAATGACTCAATGAATCTTTGTGGCTTTAGTATACAAACACCCTAAATGTCCCATCAATAGTCGATGAAAACGTATGACACATAGAGGAAAGATTCGTTTCTCCACTTAAGACTAGCATCAAAACCTGCATGTTCTCACAAAAATTTAGGCGGGATACACTTCCAAATGAAAAGTTACCTTGCGCGAATGTAGACTCCTTTCCTTTCTTGTATTGGGTCACCTTGTGGTTGGTGTGTTTGCGGCATTTGCCGTCGCAGAAAGTCCTGCGCGCCTTGGGAACGTTGACCATTACCTGGAAAAATTAAAAATTAGTCTGTTATTCGTAAAAAGTAAAAACAACAATAAAGAAGAAAAAATGAAAAGAGAAAATGAATTTCGCCAAAAACGAGCCTGAACGTTTCGCGACGCAGCGGGTGTACGGTAGAAAGGGCGCAATTGAGAATGGCCTCTTTCTTTGATTTTTGAAAGTCCTTAAAAAAGTAGTTAAAAAGTATCATTTTTTTGTTATTACTATTAGCCCAAGTTTTAAACGTTTGCTTTAGATGTCGACGGATCAAGGACCACTTTTCTCTACAAACGATACGTTACGAATGTTGGCTGAATCGGCTGCTCCTTCAGAAAGTTCGTTTAACTTCTTTTTATGATTTAGCAAAAGCTTGACGTTTTTCTTGCCTCTTCCTTGTTAATCATTTTATTTAAGCTCGAAGCGACAATGAAAATGCAGCAAACGCCCATCTTGACGACGATGAAGTAATTCTCGATATGAGCGACCGGGAAAAAGGTTTTCCTACTTTGTGTAAAAACTACTCAACTTGTAGTTTTCAACTTGTAGCTTTAATTTAAAAGAATAGCGCTAAACTTTGGTGAAAACTGTTATTCACGTATGTACTTTTAGCAAACGAGATGCTTATGGCAAAAGAATTGAAGAATCTGCAATTTGAAAATCCGGGTACAAATCAAGTTCTTGCTGAGTATGGCTCTATTGGCACCTCAAGAAGAAAACGAGCAGTAAGACGTAAGTTTTGGCTGGAAAATAGTTTTCACATTAAAATTGAAAGTTGATGGCTTGCTTTTACCTAATCCCTGACTATTTATATAGAGAAAAACGAGCAAAGAACGGAACGCAAAGATCCATACCACGATGAGAAAGGTTTAGATACGCTTATTCTTTTGTAACACTCAAGTTTAGGAAAATTGGTTGTCAACGGAGAACGTTTCACATTATGTGACTGTTTGCGAGCTGCCTGTTCGGGTTGTCATTGGCCTTGTCCAAGATGTGGGTCGAGACGTTGCGGCCCCGTTTGTCAAGTCAACAGGTATTATTATCGTTTACGACAAAACAAATAAACTTAGGACATTTGCTTATCAAGAAATTAGCGATCCGTATGCAAATGTACATCACGAGAATCCATTTATCAACGATCATTAGCTTCTAGTAAAAACGTTTTAATGATACGGGTATTTTTTGTCTTTCTTAATCATTTTTTGGGTACTTATTTTTGTTGTTTCATTTTGAAATTTGAAGTACAATTTAATTGCAAATTTATCGAGTTCGAAAATAATAGAAAAAATAAAATTCCGGTAACCTCGATGAAAAGAATTTGTTTTCTCGCTTCTTGGTTTAATCTCGCTTCGCTTTAGCTAGAGTTGTTGTTGTTGTTTACTAAAAATATAATTTTTAGTCTCCAAAGCTATTTCCCAAATTAGTATGAGCAATTTCGTCAAATAGTCGCCAAAAATTTCTCACCTGAGCGGCACCGACGGGATGAACATACGAGGACTGAAACAAAAGCATGAAAAATGCCAAATCGTTAAAAAACTCACTTATTTGTAGCGAAATCTTTTTGCTCGCGCTCGCTTTTCTTTTCAGGTGTCTAAAAATAATGATAAGGTTTTAAAAGATCAGAAGCTAATCTTCTAATAGGTAACCAAGTCACAGACAGATAAAGAAAACCAGAGGCTGAGGAATATTTTCGTGGCGGCTCTTTTCACTAAAATAACACCATAAAACATTATTGTTTTTGAATACGTACTTCAGAATTTTGTTGACTTCTAAATCCCCAGCTTCTGTCGTTGTCGTGGCGTTTCCCTTCCATTTCTAAACCGAGTGCTATGATAAAACAAGTCAGTCATCAAATTTTACCGTTGATAAAAAGGGGTCGGTGATTCGGACTAAACAAAACCAATTAAGAGGAAAACACCTTTTGATCATTCAATGCTGATTTCAAACCAGTTAAAGTTTTTATTTCCAACCAAAAAGTGACCTTAAATTCGGATGGTGGTGGCGCTCTGGACGGTTTTCCTTCCTAGATGTCTGAAAATTAATGCTCTACAAACATCAAATAACAAAATAGCATTAGCTTAATTCGGTTTATAAACAAAAAGATACAAACTTTTTTGCCTCCACCACAAATGATCAACATCGGAGCCAACAAGAAAAGCGATGAGAGCACATCACAAACAAATAGCACCAGAAGACGATGCAAATTTGCTAAAGCTCGAATTACATAAAAACCGCCCAAAAAGACAAACCCAAATAAGACTCACAAAATTCATTTCGATGCCAAATACAGAAGCGGTCGGGAAAATCAATGTAGAAATGAGGAAAACAACTACCTCGTTGTTTTTGCAAGGGCAAGATAAGTGCAAATTCCCAATTTTTTCAATGTCAATGTTATTAAGACTGTACTTTGAGCTGTTTTCTAGCAAATATCGACTTTTATTCAAACAAAACATAAGCGCGCAATTAAAATAAACGATACAAACACCTTTTTACAAAAGTTAAGCTCTTAATAGATGAAGATCACAATTTTTAAAAAACAGCAATGCTTATTTAATCGTAAAATCATAATTAAAGAATAAATGCAACGAATCACCGTGATCAGGAAGTGCCGATTTTAGCTTGTCAGCATCACATCTTATCAATTCGGAGAGGTTCTTCCCAACATCCGAGATCATCAGTTTTTGAGCCAAAGTCTGAAATTAACGATGATCCAGCTCCGCAAACAAAAATTATACCTTGTTGAACTTGGGCAATTTTTCCGATAAGTGATGTAAAAGAGTTGTATTTAGTTTGCCATTGTTTCGATTCGTTTGATCATCTAAATGGTCACGTCTTTATAAAAAATATCTAAATTACCATCTTCATTCACATCGTCACCACGAAGCGCTATTGCTTTTTCGACATCCGGATCGGAGGCATTAAGCTGTATTCCTTGATTTAACTATCATAAGAAATCATTACTTTGAGATCAGCAAAATATTCTGCGGAGTTTGTCGGTGACATTGACCAGATTAAATGAAGTTTTGGAAACGATCGTATCAAAGTACACAATTGTCGACGAATTTCTCGGCAATTTCTTGACATTTCACCCTAAATACCCATTGTTTTGACAAAATTTCAGTAAACCTGAAATGGCCCTCCATTGACGATTTTTAGCTCAAAACGCATGTTTGACTCAATTAACAAAAAGGCCGATCCATAATGTCTGAGCATCTAAAGGACAATTTTTTCTCGACCTTCACAAAAGCAATTTACCTGTTCAGTTTGTTTAAACACACGACCGCTTTGCAAAGATTGGGTCAAATCATCGAGAGCTTTTCTTTCAACGGTCATTCCCGGCGACAAAACGTAATCACCAACCTGAATAAGTCAAAGATTATTATTAGCTTTAAGGATTTAAAATAGACCTCGAGTGTTGCAGCCACCACATCATAGCCCTTTTTGTATAAAATCGTTGGCAATTCACTGTTAAATTCTCGCATATCAACGATAATCTAAACAATGGATTATTGTAATACAAATATTCCTTTTACTTTGGGTGGAGGCAATGTTCCTTCCTCAAATCCACCGGCATTCAAAGTCGAAACCGATAGTCTTGGGGCTTCTTCTCTGATTGTATCGTACTCTCTACTGACTAGCAAATTCTAAATCAAAAGTTTAACTTATGCACAGGTTTTCTTTACCTCGACTTCATTTCTCAAATTTGAAAAAGCTTCATTTTCTCGACTCAAGAGGCTTAGATATCTAAAAAAAATTTTCAGTGCAAAACCTTTTACGGACCTCTCTTCCTCTGTCGATTCCGCATACTGTAACAAGTAAAAATAAAGACAGTATTCACTATTGAGTGCATGATATAGCTAAAAGGCAACAGTTTCAATTTTCTCGTGGCATATGTCGTTACCTCAACTTGTCTTAAAACAGCAAGATCCGTATTGTACATAATGATCACAACTGGTTTCACATTTTGTAAAGCCCTTATAGTGTTGTATCGATCACTCCCAGATGAATTCACAACGTAAATCGGGAACTAAAAAAGATAATTTCTAAAAAGATCACTTCATTTCACTTTTTCATACTCTCCCAATTTGAGCATGCTCTCAGTTAGTGATAAGTCCTCTTCCTCTTTCACTTCATTTCCTTTTTCTGCAAAAGTGTTCGATGGACCGGGCTCTCCGACCTGAAATTGGTTTGCTAAAGGGAAACTTGCAGATGTTGTCAAGAATTGCTAGCAAATAGGCTTTTTATTTATTTTTCATATATCTGTCTACTCTATTTGCAGGATACCTAGCTGTTAGGAGTTTAAAAGCTAGTATACATGGTCATTTATAATATGCTGTTGCTTGCATTTTAAAAACTCGATGCACAATTTTCTCGGTTTTTGAAATCAATTGAATGATCTCTTTCCACGCATATAATAACAACTTTTAAAAGCTCATGAGATCAGCCCATTTCCCCCAGACAACCAGACACAAAATATAAACTTTTTCAACAATCTCTCCCTTTTTTGCGCATCGCATTTTTTTCTGTTCCAAATTGAGAGTTCTTTTTTGGGAGTCCAATTTCTGCTCGGCTGGCGCCCTGAAGGGCCTCTTTGCAGAAATCGATTCACTTTCAGCGGAGACACATTCTCTGTTCCCAGAATTCATTTTCGCTGACAATGACCAGACAACCCCTCAGCCGTTTCTTTTTTTCGATTCCCTAAAACACCTTTTGTTTGAAACCATTTACCCCCAATCGCTCAATGAACATGGGATTTCTCAAGAAACTTCTCGAGTCGGCTAAATAAATTTATTTACCAGACGCTATTATCCATTCACTGTTTCTTTTTCCAAAACGAAACTTACTTACAATTAGACTAGTACAGCCAATGAACTTTCGAGATATCTAATCTTTCTCCCAAAATCGAAAAAAGAAAAAGAAGAAAACGTTGTTTTGGCGGTATCGCATAAGGACATTTGATATGAAAAGAGAGCCCGATGCATCATATCACGCCATATACATTCACCGATCCACTCTCCTCCCACAAATACACACAAGACAAGATCGGCCGATCGTGGGAATGCAGAGATTGCCCTTTGCACTATTTCATCGCCTCATGTCTCAATTTCTTTGTCTGATTGTTTACTTTCCAACGTGTCATTCTTTCAGAAATGGCAAGATTAAACGGTCAAGCTAACGGAAACGGAGTCCATGTTACTAATGGAAAGCATCTCAATGGAAATGGATATTCTCATGATGCGCCTCACACCGAAACTGAGGTACAACTAGGAAATAAAATCAAAATTAAAACCACAATTCTAGCTCGAAGTCGAGTCACCATTCGTCAAGCACTTCGAGAATCATATGGAGTCAACTTTCAACTACCGAAAGAATAGAATCGAGCGTTCAAGTCATGGATTGAAAGTAAAAACCCTCAGTTAACCTGATAATTTTTGAGTTAGGTGATTCCGGAAGTAATCGAATACAAGCTGAAAACAATCACAAAGAAGCAAAAAACTGGTTTGATGCTTGTGGGACTTGGTGGTAACAATGGATCAACATCTGTAAAGCTCAAAGAAAAATCCATGTAAATAACATAAAACTCAGGTTGGATCTATGATCGCAAACCGGGAGCAGATGTCCTGGAGAAATCGCGAGGGAACACACAAGGCCAACTATTTTGGATCATTCACCCAATCGAGCACCATTCACATTGGATGGGATGGAAAAGAACAAGTAGATAAATTTCAAATCATTCGGAAAACAATGACTTTATAGGTGTATGTACCATTCAACGAAGTAATACCAATGCTCCGCCCTCACGAACTCATTATTGATGGATGGGATATCAACAATGCCAACTTATACGAAGCTATGTGCCGAGCAAAGGTTGAGCTCCAACTAAACTTTTAAAGTATTTGAAATTTAGGTCTTCGAACCCGAACTAATTGATCAATTGAAGCCCTATATGGAGCACATTGTACCAAAACCGTCGATCTACTATCCCGATTTCATTGCCTCAAATCAAGGTTTCAAAATTTCAAAAGTTTCCAACAAAGATATTTCAGGTGATCGAGCAAACAATGTCATTCCCGGAACCAACAAGCAAGAACATTTGGAGTTGATTCGCAAAGACATCAGAGAGTTCAAGAAAACAAACGATTTGGGTAGGAAAAACGTGCCAACTGATAAGCTCTCTTGTCTTCAGATTGTGTAATTGTTCTCTGGACGGCAAACACTGAAAGATACACGGATGTGAGAAGTGGTTTGAATAGCACAGCCGATGAAATTCTTCGGTCTATCGAGAAGAATGTTGATGAGGTTTGACTAAGGGAAAGATTCACAAAACGGCTAGTTTCAGATCTCACCATCGAATATCTTTGCAGTGGCTTCAATCCTCGAAGGAGCCCACTACATTAATGGTTCTCCACAAAATACTCTTGTTCCGGGAATAGTTGAGCTTGCCGGCCAAGTACAAATAGAAAAACTATATCTAAACATAAGTGAGTTTAGCACAAAGTTTTCATTGGTGGTGACGACTTCAAATCGGGACAGACAAAACTCAAATCGGCCCTTGTGGATTTCTTAGTTTCTTCAGGATTGAAACCCGAAAGCATTGTTTCCTACAATCATCTTGGTAACAATGACGGGAAAAATCTTTCTGAGGTAAAGAAAAAACGCTGGAAACCTTTATCAAAGTTTTATAGGCTCGTCAATTCCGTTCAAAGGAGATCTCAAAATCGAACGTGGTCGATGACATGGTGGCGTCTAACAAAATCCTCTACCCAGATGGCAAAAAGCCAGATCACTGTGTAGTGATCAAGTAAGTTTGCAAGCACCACATTCAATATCCGAACCTTACAGATACGTTCCATTTGTTGGTGACTCGAAAAGAGCAATGGATGAGTACGTCTGCTCAATATTTATGGGCGGCCGACAAACCTTTGTCATCCATAACACTTGCGAAGTAAGACTGGGGAAAGAATGTGAAAACATCAAAACCTAGGACTCGCTCTTGGCCACCCCACTCATTTATGATCTCACAATTTTGACGGAGCTAGCAACAAGGATCTCATATTCGGTGAACGGTTCAGAATGGCAGCAATTCCATGAGGTAAACCTTATAAAATTTCTAATTTCCAAAAAAAACAACTTACAGGTTTTATCATTGCTCTCTTTGCTACTCAAAGCCCCAGTTGTGCCCCCAGGCACACCAGTCTCAAATGCTTTCATGCGCCAATATGGCTCCATCACCAAGCTAGTAACGGCATGTGCTGGTGAATTGATTCAAATTAATAAAAATCCAAGCAACCCAAATCTAGGTATCGCCTCCGACACCGAATTGCAACTTGAATTCTTCACCAAACTCTTTTAAGCCAAAAATAGTTATGATCTTACTATTTCACCTATGAGCTGTTACACATGTGGTTCAAAATTTTTGCCGTCAGTATTCAATAAATGTTACCTTTTCTCTCGTTTCCGTCAGCTTCTTGTATCGTATCACACCAAAATGTTCAAGATTCTTCTGCTTGACAGCTATGAGACTTTCGGCAACCTTCTTTCTAAATATAAAACTAATTTTTAAAAGTCAAAGTAAAACTGGCCGCTTCTTTGCAACCCGAGCCGCTCCCTTCCGCTGCTTTTGAATGTTTTCAATCACTTCCTTTCGAGTAGAACTTCCGGGATTCTAAATTCTTTTAAACAATCAAACAAATTAAAGCAAAGTCTCACCGCTTCATCGTCAAAAAACGAAGATACTTGATCAGGATTCCAGATTGGTTTAATAGGAGCCTATAGGTCTATTTTTTCTGAAGAATTTCATACGAAAATGACGGCGCTCTCCGCGAGTTTCTTCAACTTCATGTTTAACCTAAAACCAATGCTAGTTTTCGAAATTTTAAACTTTACTTTCGCTGAATCAAAAACCGCGTCCATTAGAGCTCCATTAGAACCACCAACAGCATAGATATGACGACCGATTGGGGCAACACCACATCGGCAACGTCGTTGCGATAAAGGGCTCACTAAAGCCATTTTTTGGAATAAAATTGATTGAAGACTAACAAAAAGTCCATTGCATTGTAGTTGGATCATAGGCGTCAACATTATGAATTGTCTTTGGTGCCTGACCTCCGACAACTATCACAATCTACAAACCACAATATTTCTGAATCATACACTAATCAAACCTTGTTCGATCCAATTTGTTGTCGGGCTCGGACAAACCGCTCACGAAGTGATGACGCAGATGGGGAAAGTCGCCCTCGGCGTAGATGTACTTTACTTACCTCCAGAAGAATATCCTTAAAGAAATGTTAAAATAGAAAATCGTTAACACGTTTATCTACCTTGCACTCTTGTTGATTTTTAATAACTGGCTCATTGAAAAGTGTCTTGAAAATAACCTAAGAAATGCAGATTATGCAATCGAAAAAGACGTTTGTATTTCCCAAAAATCTTTACGAAAATCACTCACTTTGGTGTATATTGTTCGCGTTCTTCTGGCGCTGCTTGGATCCATCTGATGGCCGTTCGATAAACCTCTTCTTCACCGCATTCACCACAAACTAGGCGATCATCCGAGATTAAACTGCAGAATCGTTCAAAATCCAGCGTTAAAAGCTCATCAGAATCTACCAGATGGCTGAAAAACAATATTTTTGGAAGAAAATCAAAACATACCAAAAACTCTTGTAAATATAGTTGCGAGCAGACGCTGCTAGTTGAGTACAATTATAAATGCAGGCAAAGTCGAGCAAAGATATGACATTTCCAAGCGTTATTGTATCAATCAAAAAGCTAAACGTTCGCTTTTTCGGTGAACTTTAGTCCATACTTTGCACAAGCATCTTTAACTGAATTTAGTTGCAACATCGAGGCTGTTGTTAGAAGGGCATGGCTTAAATCTAAATAAAGTTTCGCTTTGACAATATACGAATTTCCCACTTGAATTTATTGTGAGTTGACCTGTGTAAATAAAGTCGATCAATTGGCGAAGAGCCTGAAACCAATAAAAAGTAATGAAATTCAAAGCTATCAACACGTAGTGTACATTTACAACTTGTGTTAACTTGCGTACCTCTTCATCCATATCATGTAATTCTACAGTGCTAGCTTTCAATTCAATCATATTGGAAGTTCCAAAGGTGGCACAAAAATAGGGAGATGTAGAAGATAGAATAACCCTAAAATTGCAGTTGGAGTGCTGGCTAAAAGTCTTACTTGTGTGCATAAATTGGCGAGCCTTTACAAAAGTTCGAAAGAGTTTCAGGTCTGTCAAGCGAGACTCGTTTCACTGGTACCAGTGAAACGTCACATAATAAACGGTCACTAAAACTTTGTTGAATCAGAATCGAATTTTAAAAGACCTTCTCAATGAATTACGCTGTTCGAAGAAACTTGAGGTGTGAGAGGTGTCGACGTAAAGTTTTGGTGGTGGCGAATCACTCGCATTAAGGAGGTTTTTAAGGTTAAATGATTGGTTCATGTTTGCTTGAATATGTACCTCTTCTCCATCGGCGAATTGAATATATACCTCATCTCCGCCAAGGTCGCTTCTCAAACATCTCAACCTTCTCCATTCTTAATGACGATAATCACATTCCACTTTAGCTCCTATCAACAATATGAGCGCACGTGTACACCCCAGCTCAATTCCATTTTCTTCTGAAAACCATTTATGAAATACACAAAAACAATACAATTAAAGGAAGAACACCACATTTCACAGGGCAAAGGGGTTTTCACAAGTGACCAATAATTCCACAAACACGATATGGAATTGGACGCAGAGCGGAATAAAACTCGAGCCACAAACATAACAATCAAACAAACTCAAAAATCAATTAAAGACAAATAAAAAACTATTGAAATAGATTTTTACGTGAGGCACTTCAATCCCACCAATCTTTGTTCTGGGTGGGTTTTGGGCGGAAGCCGTTCCTTGAAGACTCAGCTAAAGCAAATATTAAGAATGGACAACTATGTTGAAACCTGGTGAATTTTGAATCCGATAATCGCGATGAGGTACATTGCGTCATCCACCTCGGCTTCCACGTCCACGTAAATTTGCTTGTCCATAGCGACTAGCATCGTTCGAAACCTACAACATTCAAATGAATAGTCAAGAAAAGAGTCAGCAAACCGTCGAAAGGAACTCTGGAATCTCTTGATTAGCTTCAATCATCAGCTTGATAAGGTCGTTAGCCAGCCGCGTGTTCTTGTCGTTGAAGAAAGTAGTCGTCAATCCAATATTGCCAGCACGTCCAATACCCAAAATGCACTTTAAATAGCTCAATACACTGTAAACTAACGAGGCACATATTCATCAATATCGTTGGGCAAGTCGTAATTAATTACGTGTTTCACACTTGGGATGTCAAGACCACGAGACCATCTCCATGAATAGCCACCACACCATAGTTCTTACGGTCCAGATAATTTTGGAGATCTGAAGCACCACGCTTTGTTTCCACGAACACTACCGTCAATGTCTCGTTGCCTAAAAACAGATACGACTAACTTCTACAGCAGAGTATTATCACACAAACCTCCAGCATCAAGTAGGTCCATCAAACAACAGAGCTTCTCCTTATCCTCGACCCCAACGACCTTCTGTATGATGTTCGCTGACGTTGAGCCCACGCGCCCGACAGCCAAGAATACGTAATTGGGCACCAAAAAATCTTGAGCCAGAATCTGAGAAAATATTATTAATGCTTATCGAAAAAAAGCTCACCTGAATTTCCTTCGGGAACGTAGCAGAAAACATAGCAGTCACTCGATACCTCTTCTCTGGCATAGTTGAGAGTTCGACAATCTAAAAGCGAATACATCAATGAAATACATGATGTATTAAAACTCACTTGCCGAATTTGTGGCTCAAAGCCCATGTCTAGCATACGATCAGCTTCATCGATCACCAAATAGCGACAACCAGTAAGTCCAACATATCCTTGTTCCATCACATCAATAAGAATGTGGCAACCAAGCTAAATCGCAACAAATATAATGACTTTTTTTTGCAAGTGTATTTTGAGTTCCAAAATCTTTACCCCAAGTTTGCTGATTTGTTGTTTATAATTTTCGCGACCACCGTAGAGAATTGCCAAAGTTATGGGTGTACGATAGCCAAACTTTCTGCACTCATTATAGATCTAAGATGAGAAGTTGTCAATTCCATGCATTAAATCTTTTACTTGAAGTGACAATTCACGAGTTGGCGAAAGGACAAGAGCACAGGGAAACTGTTTCTTCCGACCATTGCCCCAAGGAGCTTCGCGATAAACTGCTTCAGGTCCGTTCTAAATAAATACACATAATTATTTGTATGAAGCTATATATAAACCTGAAGAATGTGGTTGATCAATGGAACTAGAAAGGCAGCAGTCTTCCCGGATCCAGTTTGCGCGCAAGACATCAGGTCTCGATTATCCATTAATGCCGGAATGCTGTACTTCTGCACGGGTGTCGAACGCCCATAACCCGACAATTTGATATTTTCATTGACCCATTGGTGCAACTTCAGCTCAGAGAACTAAGATGCGCGATCACATTTGAAATACAAAAATAATATACCAAAGTCGCAGGTTGTGGCACATTTTCACCAGTTGCTTCAACGGGAATTTCATCATAATTGTTGAAATTAATCCCCGAGTTCATTCCTAAGAAGAGCTCCGGTTCCGAGCTTTCATCTAAACTAGTAATAAATTATTTTTGTACATTCAACGTCTAACATTCAAATCTAGTACCTCTTGGAAGCTGCTGGCTCCAGCAGGCAGGCTTTGAATGAAATATTGTGCATTCCTCTTCCTTGGTGCCCTCCGTGGCGGCGACCGCTGTTGTCTCCACTTTCACGACGTTCACGTTGTCCCTCATCACCCTTTTGAACTTCATCTCGTTTCCATGGAGGCACATACTTTCCTAAGGTTAGCTAATTAGTAAAGTTAAGCATAAATCTCCTAAAATGTACGTTTTTAATCGTACATCGAAAAAACTAGCAGCATTTGCCTATTATACCGAAATAAAAACTCACCATTAGCACCGCTGTTGCTTGCGTCTGAGTTTTCAACATTTTCACTCATCTCTGCAAAATGAAAATCTTAAGAAAGTTGCAGAGAAGAAAACACTTACATTACAAAGACAGAAAGTTAAATATATTTATTTTGTAACAACAGTGAACTAAGTTATTACAGACATGAAATAATAAAAAACAAACAGAACAAATAATAAAAAATCAAAAATAATGCCACATCAATTTCCTTCCTCTTCCTTCTTCTCCTTCTTCTCATTATTTCCTTCTCCCTCGCTGGCTGGCTTCCTCTTCAGAGCTAAAAATGATTTAGCATAGATTTTTTAAATAAATTTGCAAAACTTACATTCGTTGCCTTGTGATTGCACCATCTTCAATCTTCCTTTGATGTCCTCAACGTATTTGCACAAATTCTTCGTGGCGACTTCCTTCTTGCTGTCTTCCTTCTCGTAGGCTTCGTGGTCCTCTTTGAATCTCTTTGCGATGGCATGGTCGTCCTTCTTCATTTTGGCATAGGCTTCATCAATTTTGTCCTTGATTTTCCAAGCAGTGACATATTCATTGATACGCTGTTTATCTGGCTTCTTGCACGCTCTTTTTTCGGCTTGGACCTGAAATTAATGGGTTTGTTTAGTTTTTAATTCGAATAAAGGCTGTTTGTGTTCTTAGTTGTAAATAAAAATAATTACCGTAAAATCGACGATCTTCAATTCGTACGCCAGACCTCCCTCCGGAATTTGAGTTTCGACGTAGCCATAGTTGGCCTTATTTTCCATCCCCAGATCTTTTAAGCCTAACAACCAGACAAGTATCTCCAGCTGGGCCTCCATTACTTTTCTGCTCGCTTCATCGATCGCTCCCCATTTTTTTTCATCCTTGCCTAAATTAGATATATTTAATTGAAAATATTTGTGAAATTTAACCTTTGCCCTCCATCGTAGCATCAACCGACCGTCCGTCACGTGTCCAGAAATCATGAACTAAATTATTAGAGTTTACGCTTAAAATCAAAAATGAGCCTTACTTATCTTTGTTGCCAAATACACGTATCCACTTTCAGCTGCATCTCGTATAACGTGGACCTCTTTTGATCCAACTTTGATGAGACTGAGCAGACGGTAGACGAAGATCTCACGAAGATCGAAGATCGAAGACTGAAGATCCTTGCTCTTGAGCGACAGATCCGGCTTCATGCCAGCCGTGAACTTGGCATAGTACTGGGCAATAGACTTGTCGTCCGACTCCAATTTAACGAGACAGGCAGTCTAAAAAGTTAAGGACATTAGAATCGTTCGGAGAAAACGAATTTACCTGCATACCAGCACCTTTCACTATTTCACAAGTCACAGATGCCTGGGGATTTCCCTTCTCGAAGTAAGCTTGAACAGCTTTTAGAAACCAATTTTCCTCGATGTGAAGGAGCAAAAAGCCGGTCCTGTTGACGTTTTCATCACGAATCCGTTTGAAGGGGATATACGCGGAGAAGAAACGGGTTTTTTCAAGAGTCTTAAAGGACTTAGCAGCATCTTCTGAAATCTTGAGCAATTCTTCACGGAGGTTCGCCTCCTTCGTTGATGACCATCTGGATTCCCCGCGGATTTCCTTCTCGCTCTTATCCTCGAGCTTTTTCACTTGCTCCAGATAGTCCTCCCAAGTTTCAAGCTTTGCATGTTTCTGAAATATATAATTTTACAGTCTTAATCAAAAATCTCGTCTAGGGAATGTCAAGAAAAGATTCAACATACCACAACAATCGCGTCTCCATGCTCCACCCCAGCTTCTTTCAAAAGAGTATCACCAACTGCCTCGAGTTGTTTCAAACGTCGACCATCGCGATTGACGTAAACTACTTGATATTCCGGATCAACTTCCAAAAAAGTACGGATATGATCCCTCAAATCCTTTACTTTCGACTAAATAAATCCGTTTAAAGATTACATAAACTAAAAGCGAACCGCGGCATCAAAAGTACCCAACGTGACGTCTCCAACCTCCACATCATCCCGATCTCGCTGCAGCCGAAAAAACAGTTCGATTTGAGCTTGTGGTTCCATCTAAAAGATAAATGAATATATTTAGAAAAGAATTGAAATGACGTGCAAAAATGTGAAATTAGACTATAAATTGAAATCTTGAGAGTAAAAACGCGAGAGACTAAGGAAGCCACCCGGCAAAAGCTAAATGCAGATTCGGAATTCGCGTAAAAAGCGCTAGCGGATAGGATATGCCTCATTTTAAAACCATCGGATAGGCTCTGTCTACTATAAGTTGGTGCCCTTACAAGTTGGTGCCCCTACAAAAACATTATAGATTTTACGGAGGGGGAAGGGAAGTTATGGGCGAGTCGAAAAAGTCGCCCAACACCACACGACTCCATCGCAAAATGGAAAAAAATGAAAAGAATGGCAAATGGGGAATTTTGTGTGGGGTAGGGTAGGACATCCACGCTTTAGAAAGCGCGCCGCACCACTTTCGCGTCAGCCCCTTTAAACCGCACGTAAATAGGAACCTAACCACATATTGACTGTAAATTTGCTGGAAAAATTAGCTTTTTTGTGATTTATAATGGAATGGGATTTCGGTGAGCGAGAAGCTTTGAATTTCATTACTTTTTATTGGTTTCAGGCTCTTCGCCAATTGATCGACTTTATTTACACAGGTCAACTCACAATAAATTCAAGTGGGAAATTCGTATATTGTCAAAGCGAAACTTTATTTAGATTTAAGCCATGCCCTTCTAACAACAGCCTCGATGTTGCAACTAAATTCAGTTAAAGATGCTTGTGCAAAGTATGGACTAAAGTTCACCGAAAAAGCGAACGTTTAGCTTTTTGATTGATACAATAACGCTTGGAAATGTCATATCTTTGCTCGACTTTGCCTGCATTTATAATTGTACTCAACTAGCAGCGTCTGCTCGCAACTATATTTACAAGAGTTTTTGGTATGTTTTGATTTTCTTCCAAAAATATTGTTTTTCAGCCATCTGGTAGATTCTGATGAGCTTTTAACGCTGGATTTTGAACGATTCTGCAGTTTAATCTCGGATGATCGCCTAGTTTGTGGTGAATGCGGTGAAGAAGAGGTTTATCGAACGGCCATCAGATGGATCCAAGCAGCGCCAGAAGAACGCGAACAATATACACCAAAGTGAGTGATTTTCGTAAAGATTTTTGGGAAATACAAACGTCTTTTTCGATTGCATAATCTGCATTTCTTAGGTTATTTTCAAGACACTTTTCAATGAGCCAGTTATTAAAAATCAACAAGAGTGCAAGGTAGATAAACGTGTTAACGATTTTCTATTTTAACATTTCTTTAAGGATATTCTTCTGGAGGTAAGTAAAGTACATCTACGCCGAGGGCGACTTTCCCCATCTGCGTCATCACTTCGTGAGCGGTTTGTCCGAGCCCGACAACAAATTGGATCGAACAAGGTTTGATTAGTGTATGATTCAGAAATATTGTGGTTTGTAGATTGTGATAGTTGTCGGAGGTCAGGCACCAAAGACAATTCATAATGTTGACGCCTATGATCCAACTACAATGCAATGGACTTTTTGTTAGTCTTCAATCAATTTTATTCCAAAAAATGGCTTTAGTGAGCCCTTTATCGCAACGACGTTGCCGATGTGGTGTTGCCCCAATCGGTCGTCATATCTATGCTGTTGGTGGTTCTAATGGAGCTCAGCGAATGAAATCTGTTGATGTGTATGACACTGTTAGGTTGGTTACTTTGATTGCCCATATGCATTTTGTTTTTAAATAATTTTTCCAAACAAAAAAATTTAGAAATCAATGGATCCCTGGACCACCCTTTTAAATAAGGTATTAGTTTGTGATACAAAATGTTATGTGAGTATCAAGTTGACTTGTTAAGTTGTTTGGTCTTGTAATCAAATAAATTTTAGGCTTCGTCGGGGAACTCTTGGGGTGACCACTTTCAACGATCAGCTATTGGTTGCTGTAGGAGGTTTTGATGGAGCAACTGGGATTGCAAATGCTAAACTGTTGGATTCACGAACATGTTCGCCAAGTTATTTTGCAAAAACTATTGTTGTGTTTAGGAGATTGGTCAGAACTTGCCTCGATGAAAACGCGTCGATCGTCGGTTGGCGTGACGTCTGTTGGCTCTAGTGTTTACGCGGTTGGCGGATACGATGGTCACAGTAGACATTGTTTGAATACGGTATGTCTTCTTAAAACTTTCAAAAATAACCAATTCTTTTAGGTAGAAGTTTTTGATCTGCGAGCAAATCGTTGGCGTGCTGGGAAACCATTACGCGAGGCAAGTTTTGATTTACAGCTTTTCTTAAAATTGCATTAGGTTCGATCTGGAGCTGCAGTATGTTCTTCTTAATGGTTCAATCGTTGCTGCGGGTGGTCACGAGGGAGCAACTATGAGAGATACCGTTGAGGTTTGTAACATTTTCGTATGAAATTACTCAGAAAAAAATAGATCTATAATCCTGGGGTAGATGATGATTGGGCATTGATTCCAAACATGAGCGCGCCAAGACGAAATGCGGGTCTACTTTTTGTGAATAGGTACTCAAGCTTTTGAGTAAACATAATAAATTTATTGCAGCTCTTTAATGGTTTTCGGTGGCGATGAGGGAGATTCTCATTTATTGGATTCGATTGAAACATTGACAATAGATATGGGTAGAGGACAACGGGCAGAGTTTGCCGGAAGATGGCAAGTAATAGAGGTACTTTGAATTTTGTTTAAAAATGAGCATTTTATTCAGTCAACACTTCCGCAACCTCGATCATACAGTGGATTAGTGCTTGTCGATAAGCCGTAGCTAAAATTTAGTTGTTATCTTTAAGCATTTGTTTCCATGGATTTCATGTTTCTGATTTTTTTTTCTGATCTGGTCCTTCAGTTTTTATTTTTGTTATAACCTTGTTGGCTGAAATAAAAAAATTCTTTTCTTTTACTGGTACGTAACGCGTTTGAAAACGTTGGAGATACTCTTGGGTGTAAAAGCACACAGCTCGATTAAACGCACATTTTAAGCTTTTCCAAGTTGATGACAACTTCCTAAGCATAAGCTTAAATGGACGCGGTTTTTGATCCAGCAAAAGTAAAGTCTAAAATTTCGAAAACTAGCATTGTTTTTAGGTTAAACATGAAGTTGAAGAAACTCGCGGAGAGAGCCGGCAATCGAAGTAACTATTTTGAGAAAAATTTGATCACTGTTTCAATTTAGCCCCTGCCGGAAGCAATAGAGGCACTCGAGCACGAACATATGGCCATGGGTGAACATATGAACGAAGATACTTTATTTGTGATGGCAAGGTTTAAAGGTTTCAATATAATAAAATGTCGTTGGGAAAGATTTTTCCAATTTTATTTTTAATCTTTTATCAATCTTTTATTTAATCTTTTTCACTTGTTGATCGTCGCGAATTAAGTAGATAATAGACCAAATATCGAGTAGAAGCAAATAGAAAATGGCTTGTTTTGCGTGTGAGATGCAGTTTAAGCAATATGTATGCAAATTTCTTACCAATTCAAATTTGCTCAGTGAAAATCTCGTGGTACTGTACAATCTCATAGATGAAAAGAGGTCAGGAAGAAAAAAAAATGATTACCCTAAGATAAAAGGCCAAGAAATCATAGTTTGAACATGAAGTATCCCGAGAAATTAATGCAAGTGTACTAGATAGCTATAAATATTCAAAGAATCGATACAAGTTGTAAAAATCGATCAATTAGCAGCCGCCCATGCCTCCAACTCGGCCATAGTGTCCTGTTTTTGGACTTTTCCCTTTGAACGAGTGATAGGCCCGGAAGGGACGGTGGGAATAGCGGAAAGGGTGTCCATTTCTTGATCAGATTGTCGAGAAGGAAGAGATGGATCTTGTTTGGCTTCCTAAATGGTAACAATTGTGATTAATTGTGAAGATGGTAACAATAGGTCTACTATTGTGTAAAATCCAGTCCATTTTCTCACTACACTATGCCAAACTGAAAAGTATTCAGGCTTTAATTACTGCTGAACTAAATGACATGTCTTGTATGCTTGTTCCTTATTGCAGTTCGTTTTATTAGCTTTTTGTTTTGTTCTTTTTGTTCAACGAGCTTTGCTTGTGTTCTTTTTTGTCGATTATCGTCGGCGGCCAATTTTTTGGCCAAGTTCCAGCCCAATTTTAGATAGGTTTTTGTTAACAACTTTTGATAAAACAAATAGTTTCTGAAAGCTGACGTTCTAAGCTATCTAAATCTTATTAAAGTTTAAGCTGCTTAAAAATGAGCTGCAAGTTGGCCAAAAAATTGGCCCTCGCCATTAACCGTAAAGGTCCGTCCACTGAAACGGCGTTTTTCCATTCCTTTATGCTAATTATAGTGAATAAAGTGATATATACTAATGTTTCCTCTTTTTTTCTCTGTTAAATACACAATTCGTACATAACCTAAGAAATTTTCTCGAAAGAGTTGACCAGTGGTTCTTTGATCGCTTCTTTGAAACACTGTCTTTGGTTATTTTCGCGGATTTCTCTGTTTCTTTTTCTGTCTCCAATCCTGTGTGATCTTTTGCATAAAGGCAGCGTTTTTAAAAGGCACCTAAGAAATGGAGGGCAACTCAATTTTTTCAAACGCAATTTGATTTAATTGGTTCTTGGTAGCCGGGAAAGTGTTATTTAGCGAAAAAATTCTAGATAGAATCGACCGAATGATAGTTAAAAATGATCTGCGCTTTTATTTTTATGAAGTCATCAAAAAGAAGGTAAAAGTTGGAGATTTTTCTAGTAATTTTTGGAATTTAGAACATCCTCATTCTTGTTGGAGATGATGTCGACGCTCTTTGTGCATCTTTAATTCTCACTGTAAGTATTTAACTCAATATGTGGTTTGATATGTATGTTTAGGGTTTGCTTCGATGTGACGATGCCGCTTTTTCGGTGGTTCCCGTTGCAACATGGACAGATGTCAAAAAAGCAATAGCTGAACAGGAGCAAAGTAAATTTTTAAAATTTTACTGAGTTCCAAGTTTTTAGGCCAAGTTATCGTTATGTTAAATTGTGGAGGAAATCGCACGCTATCCGAATTAGAGGTAACTTTTTCATCATCATTTTTACTATTGAACATATGTAGATTCCGGAAGCTTTACCCGTTTTTATCTGCGATAATAGGCGTCCCTTCGATCTCGATAACGTTTATGATGCCGAGCAAGTTCGGATAATCGTTGATCCAAAGGAAATTGAAGAATTAGGGTTTTTTTGAGACCTAGAATCTATTATACAAATGTATAGGGTACCGCCAATTGAAGATGTGTTTAAAGAAGAAACTTCTTCCGACGAGGATGAGGACGAAGATGCCGAAAGCTATGGTCGGTAAGATTGGATGTTTAATTGAGTTACTACAGGGTGGTCCAAAATTATAGCAACTCGACATTTTCTGACTAACTCGACAACGCAGTCATCCATTTTTGGATGTTTTTAAATTGAAATTAACATGATTTCCTATGACAGAAACTTGCTTTTGGTTGGAAACGTTCTTGTTAATTTTATACGACGCTTTAAAGTTGAGATGCACTGACCGCCCGGCGACTCTGCCATTTTCGCTAGTTTTCCAATTTCCTTTGTGCGATTATAGGTTTCCTTTTTAAGATGAACAAAGTGAACAAGTTTTTTTTCATTCATTTAATTTATTTCCAATGGAAATCAAGCAAAACCCGGACTGCTGATCATGCTTGAATCCAATTTTAAGAGTACGTCAAAACGCTGTTTTTCAGCTGAGTTTGCATCAATCGTATTTTTTTTGCAATAAAGCACACTTTTTTTCAAAATTTTGACAATCTTTTACAAAAGAAACATGTAAAACTGTTCTAAGAGCTTATAAAGATAGAAAGGAATTAGCTTTGCCGAAATTTTGCAAGAGAAACGATCAGTTCTTGTCACAAACGCTGGGTCGCCAGACGATCACGGTGATTCAGGTTTGAGCTTCTATAAAAAGATAACAACAACGTTTTTAGCCGAAACCAAAGTTTCTGTTGTTGTAGATAGTGTCAGTTTAATGTTTAAAAAACATCCTAAGAGAAAAAAAACGGCGGACTGTCGAGTTACATCAAGAAAAGCCGAGTTGCTATAATTTTTGGACCACCCTGTATATATATTTAACTGAGTTTAATTGAGTTCTTCAGCAATAACTATGCAACGTCGAGCTTTGAAACGAGAGGAAAAGCGAGCTTGGGAGCACCGAAAAGCTCAAGCACTATGGAGATACTACTCTAACACATGGGTCTCACTACCGGTAATCTAAAAATATGGAAGATTAATTGGTGGATTTAGACATCAATACGAATACTTGAGCTAGCATTCTCCCTAAATAGAGCCACTCCGGAGTTCATGTGGTTAGCCTCTGTTGGATTAAACAGCCTTTACGTGGATAATTTGGTGAGTTTTAAAACATTAGGTATATTAGCTTTTAAAAATGTTTGTAGATAAACTTGCAAGTCTACTCGGAAGTTTGTGTTGGAAGAATTCGACAGTTTATTCACAAATTTGCGCCAAAAGCCACTCCAAGATCAGATGATTTGTTCAGAATCAGTTTTGACAAAGAGTTTGTTTGTTTATTTTAATACATCCTGCAAATAATTATTTTAGACTCACCCTTGCTGTTTACACAAGTTGGTCTCTATATTCGGCGATGCGTGTGAATCAGTTCTTCGCTTGTAAAACAACAAACTGGAGCCAAACTGGCGAAGACAATATGAAAAAACTCTACGCTCGCTTGGGGTATTTACATGTAAATATTTCTTTTAAAAAATATTTACTTTAGTATTACTCTAGCCGAAGCTCGGCAAGTATTTTCTTCCCTTTCTACTGAGCGTAAAAAAGAAATAGCAATGATTTTGAATTTCGAAACGAAGGAACAGTGAGTTTTCTTTTATTATACAAAAGCTAAACTGTTTTAGTTTTCACACTTTTACCGCGCATATTGGTTATTCCGCCCGTGTCACTGCTGCCGATACTGCACGGATAGTTGCGCTAAAGTACGCTTAAATATTTTTCACAAATAATCCTTATTTAGACTTGAAGCACAAAGACCCGGATCTCACCTTGTGGATAGATTCAGTGCAGCAACAGGAATTTTGAAAGGTCTTTAGATATACAATTTATACTTTTAGCTCGGTATAAACTTGAACGAGATTTGTTTAGATATGATGTCACCTGGGAAAGAAATTGTGCTGCAAAAGAATATTGAGGCATACAAGGTTTGTAAATTGTGATCATGGCATACAAGGTTTGTAAATTGTGATTATTTATGCTTCTAGTTGGCACTCGAACTTGTTTATCAGTATGTGGCCACGGCGCTGAACCAATCTGAAATTATAAGCATGGGACAGTATTATCTCTACGCGTGTAGCAAGTTTGTAAACGTTTACAACTCAAAGTTTACCTTTATTGATAGGGTGGTTGATGAGGGCCTAATGGAGTCGAGACATTTTCTGCTGCTATTTCAAAATTTCGTTTTGGAAGCTTTCGCATCATCTCGTGTAAGTTTATTTTAAAAATATTTATACAAATCACATGATAGAAGAAAAGAAGAGCAAAACCCTTGATCGTCGCTTTCCCGTTAGCGGGAAACAAAGAAGGTTGGCATATCATTTCGGGAGTCATGCCGCTTGGTACTGCATATCACGATAATTATTTAAAAAGGTAAGATTTCATTCATTTCAAATTCTAGTATACTTTGTTTTTTTAGCGTCATCGGTGGTGCTTTCGAGAAGTGCGAAAGCAGCAATCTACGAATGCTTCGAGAACGATTCAGCCCTGACAGTGAGTTTTTAAT